CCTTCTCCGTCTCTTTTATGTCGCTACGTCGCCGTCGCCGCCATGCGGCTATCACTCGGTTGTTCTACGACCGCTGCCTGCCACCGTGAGGGTTGTTGTGTTTGTGGGAAATTTTGTGTGAGTATGTGCGTGTTTTAGTTGTATGATGTTGTATAGACATTTCTTGGCCAGAAAACCGAAGAAAACTCACCACCACCACCATGAGATGGTGGTTGCCACCTCTTGCTGTCGTCCGCCACCATCTTGGTGGCTGTATTGGGCATTTTTTTTTATTCTTTTGGTTCTAATGTGTGCATGTATGATGTAGGAACTTTTATGTGTGCTTGGTTGTTGGATTTATCACTCGAAATCGCCACCGTCGCCATGTGTGGGTGGCTGCCGCCACGGACCGCCGCCGATCACCACTGCCCGAGGTGGCAGTGGGTGGTGCCCGACTTATTAAAACATTAAATTACCTAAGCATCTAACTTTGGTCCGTGTGGCACGTGTTTTGGGTTGGAAACCTAATTAGGGTTTAGAAAACCCCAATGTCAAGAAAACCCTAGTTTTGGAGTTTTGTCGGGACCCATGTTAAAACTGTTAATTGAACTTTAAATAATACTTAATAATGCCCTACGATTAACTTAATGTAGCATTGGACTTAATGAATTAAATCCTCAAGGGAGTAAGTGTGGAACACTAACCCTAGTTATGATTTTATGTGAAAACCCTTAGAATCGGGGAGATCTATTTTGGACAATGATCGGGCGCATACTTGGCCTATTGAATGGACTATTATTACATTGGAGAATGACTAAGTCTAACGTTAAATTTTCCAACCCTTAGGTGATTAAGTCCTTAATTGGATACATGTTTTTACTTAATCCTAATCGGCATTTTATGTGAAATAGTCACTGTTGCAAGTAACTATGACCTGTGATTAAGTATTGACTCTAGTATCTTCATGTAGGTGATTGGAAGTAAGTTTAAGTAGGTAGTCTTATTCGTTGCTACGGTGCTCACCTACGCGCATATAGAGGTGAGTTTCGCCTCACTGTACCCGTGGGTCAAAGGCATCAATGTCGGCCCACTAGTTTTTGTTATCTGTTAGTAGAGGGATACCTTAGGGACTATATATAGTTATGTAGGATAAACTAAGGACTATTGATCTAAGCTCTCTTACCTGTTCCTTGTTTGGTTGTGGTTCTAGAGTAGGATCACCTGTCTGAGTGATTATCTCACCTCTGAGTATATATGGCCATGCATTCCTTGGATTGTTGATATCTAGTATGGTGCTATGCTATAGTGATCTGTTAGATCTATGTTCTGGTATCGAGTATGCTGCTATGCTGTAGTGATCTGTTAGATCGGTGTTCTGGTATCAAGTGTGCTGTTATGCTGTAGTGATCTATTATATTTGCCTTATGGTATTAAGTTTGTTGCTTCGCTGTAATAATCTGTAAAATTATATGTTATCTGTGCTTGTTGGTTGTCATCAATGGAGTGACCATAGGTACTGTCTGTAGTCATGTAGGATAGCCTGAGAACTCTTGGTCTAGGTGTAGTGGTGTTAATCACGATGACATTTGTGGAATTGATAAGATCTAGTGAATCATGAACATGAAGAACACAAGAGTAAATAAATCGTTTAAGCTCTCATTAGTTTTTAGAAAGAGTACAAATAGGTTTGCAATAATTCTCTCTCTAAACTAATCACTCTAAAGTTCTTCCTTACATAAAATGAGTGTCACTCACTTCCTTATAAAGGAAAGAAAACTCATTACACGCATACAAATGAGTAAGCACACATGACATCCAAGAGTGACTTTTCACCCTAACATTCTCCCTCTCAAAGTAAGGATTGAATGTCCTGGCTTCAATATATAACGAGCTCGCGCGATCAAGACCAACTCCTCATCGAAGTAATACCGGTCTTCAAATCTGCAAATGGACACCTTAGAAGCTTCGAATACCCACTCTTCATTCTCCCCCTTTTTATAATCAAAAAGTGATTATAAAACCCAATAAGTTTGAGAAGCGCCCAAGGAATAAACTTCACAAAACTCCCCCTTGATGTGTGCCAAAAATGAAACCGCGAAAAACTTGCATGGAAAAACAATCACGATAAAGTTATGAAAATTTTCCAGTTTTTGTGAAAATTTTCAACTTTTGGGTTAGAGTTGCAAGAATTTTAACAATCTGGGTAAAAACTACCAATATCAGAATTCTGCACGGACCCGTTGCACCAAAAACAGTCTCAAATGCAAAACTTTACCCCAATTGCAAAACTGGGCATAAAGTGACAATTCGCATTAACTACAGGGGCATGAAATGTAAATTTCACCATTTTTCAGAATTTTTATCCCAATTTTGAAGTTGGGTAGAATCTGCCAACATTTCAAAACTTTAGGGAATCAATACGAAACTTCTTCATCCTTCACAAATATTGTCACCATTTCGAAGTTGGACTAAAACTGCCATTTCGTTAAAAGTTCAGGGACTCATAATGAAAATGTTTGTTTTCTTCCCCCACCTTGTTATATCAGTCACGAAAGGAGATGTTTAACCATAGAAAAGTCAAAATTGAAACTCCATGTCTTCGCTTTTAGTTAATAGCCATCGACATATATAGCCAAATCAAACCTTCGAACGTAGATGACAACCATCGACCATCGACCTCATTTTGAAAGTCGATATTCCCATTTCGAAATTCGATATTCATTTGCTACTCGACATCGATCTCATGTAGAGACCCTCGACAATGGACCATTGACTGTACGCCCATCGACATCGAATCATTGACCATCGACATCAGATTACGACCTTATGACCTTCGAAATCAGATTATGGGCATCAACCAAAATCGACATCAACACAAATTACCCATGTCGATACCCAATTTATCCTCCTATTTCGAAGTCAGTCAATCTCAAGCTCGATTCCCATATGACCTAACCTTCGAAATCGATCATACAACTATTGACATCAAAATCAATAAGCCTTCCCATTTTCAATCAACATTCAATCCTTCGAAATTTATTTCCATCTATTCGCTATCAGATTACCAACATTCGATAACGACCTCCACAGTTACCAATAGACATCGAATCAAAGCTGAAATCAACCCTTCTAAATTAGATTACGACTATCTAACCATTCGAAATCGACTCCTAAGATTGATTCCAACTCTTCGAACTCAACAAATAGTCATCGACATCAAACCATTGACCTCGCCATCGATCCAAATACAAACGACCAACAGAACTTTGAAATCAATAATCCTGCTTGCCAAAATTCACTATTGACACCAAAAGAACACAAAAGACCATCAAAATCGAACCATCTACCCATTCGATTTCCATACTTCTCAAGCATTCGACTTCCAAGTGACTTAAACTAAATACGATTCCAGTTAAAGATTTAAATCGTTTCCAGATTCATCAAGCTCCTGATTTTGACTTTTAGGTTTGACTTTCATCATCGTATTTGATATCGTTTGACCCAAATCAGTTTCCAGTTTCTCAAGAACACCGATCAATAATCAAAGTCGATTTCGACTTCAAAACACTTTCCATCAAATCGAATCAATTTCATGTTTTAGATGCGATCATCCAACACATGTAACGAATTGGAAAACACAAACAATAGATCACGAATGTCGAAGGCACCAATGTCGGTCCATTACTTTGTTATGTAGAATATTAGTTGTCTCTATGATACTTGCATGAAAGACTAGGATTTGGCCCATGACAATTGTATGAAAGACCATGATTTGGCCCCTGACACTTGTATGTAAGGCCGGGATTTGGCCCTCGGCATTGCAAGGACAGACCATGGGGGTAACCCATGACACTTGTATGTAAGATCGGGATTTCGCCCTCGACACTGCAAGGAAAGACCATGGTGGTAGCCGATGACACTTGTATGTTATGATATGTAGTATTATAGGAAACTCACTAAGCTTTGTGCTTACAGTTTCATATTTATGGTTTCAGGTGCTTTCAGTTTGAAAGGGAAGGGCCCGACGTGATTGCATAACATCCCCCAGAGTTTTCCGCATTGATAATTAATGATACTACTTTGATGTTTAAATAATATATTCACTTTAATCGGTTTGGAACAACTTGTATGTTTTATCGTTTTAAAAATGAAATGTTTACCTTGGATTTTTGGGACGTTACAAATATTGTCTTTAGGTACTTTCCTCATAGACGAACACTACCTATAAAGAAGACACGAAACAAACAACCTATAAATGCATGGAGCTGTATTTTTTTAGGAAAACAAAACAATTAGTTGTAGAAACGTAATAAATTTTAAAGAAACAATTAAAATATGGAACATAATAAATTTACCACACATCCAATAGCTATAAAACAGAGTTGGAAATGATCCATACATCAGTTTTGATGTTCGTATAACTATGATGGTTGGTCTGTCGAAGATTGTGTAAGTAAACAAATAGGTTGGTAAAACATTTTTCGTTCTCACTATTTGTAAAAACTCATCTTGAAGCAGTTATAATAGATAATTATTGATGATCCAAAGTAACTGATAACTACATGAGATACCATTTATACATAGGGGATGAAAAATGATGTTTTTTTGGGGGTCTGGAATGTGTTCGAAATGCATGTTCTTGATTCCAGAATGTTACATTTATGTACGACATTGACTATTGTACTCGGAAATTGACTTTGCCAGCCCGGAATATACAGAGGCAGATTTCAAAATCGAAGCTCTAAAATAAATACTGCTTTTCCGAAATACTATATTATGGATATAATGGTCATTCTTAAAAAAAAAGATATAAATTGGTTATTATTTAAAATAATCAATTATATGGTTATAAATCTTCCAAACCACGGATGGATTTAGTTGTTTTTTTCTTAATAATATAATTATAAAATCATAAGCAAATTGATTAATATATTTTCCTTTTACATTAAAATTTTAAAAGAAAATACAAAATAAGGTATATAAATGCAAATTTCCCCTGGTTCAAAGTAGATTAGATTTTCCCAAATCATCATCACTTTCTTACAACGTCAGATTGTCACGCAGACAGAGACATAGAAGGAGAGAGAGAGAGAAAGAGAGAAAGAGCGAGGGAGGGAAGGAAGAGGGGTGAATTGCTCGAGTTTGGTAAAGAAAACAGATAGATCATACATAAATTTGTGGACGAACGGAGAAGAATCAAAGAAGAACAAGGAGATTTTAAGAGGGGAACCATTGTTCTTGATTGATTGATGATGGCGTCGTCGATGAAATTATCTCTGTTATTCATGTTCATTACGCTCACGATTTTCTCTTCCGTTTCCTCAGCTCTTCCGTCCTTATCATCGAGCTGTCATCCTCAGATTCATCCATTTCTTCACGATCTACAGCTTCAGTGCCCTACCACAATCGTATCCTCTTCGCCGATCGAGGTATATTTTCGTCTTAATTTTGTTTATTCAAGAATCACGATACATCTATATGCATTACTTTTGTGTTTCTTTTATAAATGTTGAATTTAATTGGTACTTTCCATTGATTTTTAATTATCCATAGTCAAATTCTCCATGAACAGCTTAGGGTATTTGAATATTACTGGCTTCCGTTCAAGTAGATCGCTCAGATATATATAATTTTTCCAAATATCCCAAGGTCACACGTTTAAGAATTTTGAGAATGATTAGTAGGTTCTTTAAATTTGCTCAATTTGTGAAAAACAAGATAATCACATAAAATTCCTTATTTTTTTCATAGATTAAACTCTTCAAACTTCACCTCAATCCAAAATGAAAAAACCTGTCTTGAAGATCCACCTTCCATGTGACTAACAATGACATATCTAAAACCTTTTCCCCCCTTTTAGTCCACAAACTAAGTACCAAATTGTAATGTTTTATGTTCCCTACATTGAAATACTAATATTGAGTTACGGCCTGCTGATTTAGTCAGATCTGATTGAGTCAAGACCAGACTGAGTCAGACCAGACCCGTTTCAAACATATTTTGGGCAAAAAAATGGGTCATTAAAATACACAAATTTCATCAAGTTTTTTTATAATAACTCAATAATTGAAAGAAAAATATTTGTTCTATATTCTAAATATAACAATTTCCATAAAAAATTTGGACCTCTTTAAAAGATGCGTCCTGGACGGTTATAAGAGGCTATAATTGTGGTATCAAACAAGTTGAATTTACCGAGTCAGATTCAATCTTTTACCAGACTCAGTAAGAGACATATCAGTCTTCGGTTCACCAAGTTCATACAAAATAATGTGGTTGTTGATGCTTTGAGTATAACAAGTTCATACAAAATAATTTTGTATTAAATTATTATATTTGTGTTTATTAATGTTTTTAATCATGTTTCCATGTAGATGAATGGGGATTCTCTCGACAACTTTATGAGTTCCTATAAAACAAATGCATACACATCGATTTTATTCTATGCTTCATGGTGTCCATTTTCTATAAATGCTCAAACCAAATTTCAAGCTCTTGCTTCAATGTATCCACAAATTAAACACGTAAAAGTAGAACAATCATCAGCATTGCCAAGGTATAGACTCATTGCATTTTTTTTTCGGTTTATATAATTAAAAAAAATTGCTAATTTTTATATATTTTTTTTAGTGTTTTCTCAAGAAATGGAATTCATAGCCTCCCAACAATTTTAATAACAAATAGAACATCCCGAATGCAACATCATGGCCCAAAAGATTTAGACTCCCTTTTGAACTTCTATCAAAGAACCACAGGTATTGTTTTTGTTTTTGTTTTAGTATTTCTTTTTTGTTTTTAATAATTGTGAAAATATTTTCTTTAACGTATTTTCCTTTTTTTTTTTTTATTGTTTCAAGGACTCGAGCCTACAATGCATTTAACAGAAGAACAACTCGAACTCGATTCCTCTTTTGAAAACAAAAACATAAATTCGTTAAAACAGATAATCAGTAGCGAACCCTATCTCGTATTTTCCATATTATTCGTTTCATTAAAATCACTCCTATTTTTATGCCCCGAAATTATACCCAAAATTATAGCGTTATGGGCAGCATACATTCCTCGTTTAAATCTATCGATATTTGGGGAATCGAAACAGCTTTTGACTCATGCACTCCACCTGTTCGACGTAAAGTCTGCTTTTAAAAAGCTTAAAATTAGCAAAAACAGGAACTTTCGTAACGGTGTCGTTTTTGGGGTTGGAGTCGTTGGGAGAGACGTCATTGGCTAGACTCTAGAGCCTGGTTTATTTGCTAGTAGGGTATAAAATATAAATGGATAATCATGAAAACCGTTTACTTGTTTCTTTATAAAATATTTAGAGATGATTAAATACTTTTTGTAATATATAATCATGTATATCAGTCTTTTGTGGTTTTCTGTATATTTTTCCGTTTATTGTGATTGATTATTAGTTATATGGTCAGTTAAATTTTTTTTTATTATATATTTTAGATTAAACTTCATGTATTAAGATTGCTTTATATTGTTAGAATTGATAAATATTAATAAAATTAACGAATATTTTGAAATTTATTTTTTTGGAAGTTATTTATTTAGTCTAAAAGAATACATTTTAATAAAACGAATAGACTCTAAAAGAATACATTTTATGTATAAAACATGTTTATGTAGACGGAAGTCTGTTACCTATTTAGTCTGTTTTTGACGCATCACAGATTGACATGTCTTTTTGACGTTTAACCGAACCAAAACAACCTAATTAAATTGGTTTTTAAATATTTAAACAGAACCCAACCACAAACCCAAACCACTGGGTTTGGTTTTCGGTTTTCTATTTTCTTTGGATTGGGCTTATGGCTTATATAAGCATATAAGGGATGCTAATGACATATTTTCTATAACCCCAACGATGTGGGATGGATTGGCTGTTGTTGGAAAACTAAAAATCATTAATTGTCCCACGTGGTAACAAGATTCAAACATGCCACCTTAAGATCAACTTCATTGAAACATTAGGTATTGGTCCTGTGAGCTGGTGTTATAACATCTTATAACATCAAGGGGAAATGACGTTCATAATCTTATAACACCGTTAAGAGGAGGTTAAGAGGATAAAAATAGAGAGAGATGAAATTTGCAGACAATCAATGTTCCCGTTTCAATTTGTCGCAACGCCAACAAGATATGTCATAACACCAATGAGAAAATGGTCTTCATGATGTTATGACCATGTTATGACGGTGCCACATAGACAATAAAGACGTTTTATGTACCCATACCGGATGTTCTTAAGCACTAACAAGCCATACCATACTAAATTACTACTTTTATATATATATATATATATATATATATATATATATATATATATATATATATATATATATATATATATATAACCTTTATTAATATTTGGTATGGTGACACAAAGTGACAAAGGAGACTACATTGCAAAAATACATTATGATTTCTTTTTTCATTACATTAAATTGGTTCGGTTTTCCCACTTTTTTACAAATCCTAAAACTGAAACTGAACATAATATTTTGGTTTTTAAAAAACTAAAACATAAACCATCGGTTTCAGTTTTATCGGTTTTTGTTGGTTTTTCAGTTTACGGGTTCAGTTTTACTTATCCCTACACACAACTAGCTGATAAATTTTTTTTTGTGTTTTTTTTTAGTTTTCATATTTGGCAGCCAAAAAAGTAATAATTTTTTAAAAAGCTACTAAGACCAACTTTTAAGAGCTTTTATTTATTTATTTTTTCAAATACACCCTTAACATTCTAAAAGTCTTTTTATTTCTTTTTATATCTTTCAACTAACTTATCAGCTAGTTTTACAAAATGTCATTTTTTTATCACTTAGTTTTTCATATAACAACTAGTTTTTCAGCTAACAACTATCTTTTCAACTAGTACGTCAAACATAGCCTTAGTTATTTACTTGTTTATCTTTAAATAATTTAATAGCAAAAAAGACACTAAGGTTGTGTTTAGTGCACCACAACTAGCTAAAAAACTAGTTTATTTTCAAGTTTTTTTAATTTGTTGTGTCTGACACGCAAAAAAGTAAGTTATAAGTTAGTTTATAAGTTACATTTTTAAAAAACTACTTAGAATCAATTTTAATAAGTTTTTAAAATAATTTCAAATACTCCTTTAATTAATTATAAAAAAAAATCTCCTAAATGTATTTTTTTGTCATCTTATACCTTCCGACTAACTTATCAACTATTATTTACCAAACATTATTTTTTACCGACCAGCTTATAATTGAATAGCTAGTACACCATATAGCCTAAAGCTTGTTATTTTCTTTTTTCTATTTCGGAATTTGTCACGATATTTAAAAAATGTTTGTTTAGCATATCATCACACTAGAGAAAATTGATTTTCTTGATTAAATCATGATTTAATTGTGGGGACGTTTTTTGGTGAATAAGTTTTTATATTCTTTATTATTATTATTATTATTATTATTATTATTTTGCATAAAGTCAATAATCATTTTCACTACTAGAAAACTGGGTGAATTCCTACGGAAATTAGTGACGAAATTCCGACGGAATTGTGACAAACATAAAAACCCTAATTTTAATGACGGAATACTGACAAAATAGCGACGAATATATATATATATATATATATATATATATATATATATATATATATATATATATATATATATATATATATCTTCATGAAATTCAAGCCTTAGACAATTCTTTTTCTTTTTTAGTTGGGATAAAATGCTATCCTGCTATATATATATATATATATATATATATATATATATATATATATATATATATATATATATATATATATATATATACATTAGGGAAGTCTAAAGCCGTGCTAAGCACGATGTACAATTGGACTTAAATTATAGTTAAAAAGTGAAACTATAATGCTATAATTGAATAAGTTTTCGAAATAGAACATCTTAATATGAAAAAAAAAAAAAAGGAGTTAAAGTATTATATTTGTGTGGAATTTACAAAGTTCATAACACATAATGCAATATGCTTGCTATTATTTGCTTATAATATCAACATACATGCATTTTCAAACCATAATATCAATATGCAATAGATAAACTACAACGCATATACTGCATACTGTGGTGGCGAGAGCGAAGAGTATCAGAAAGAACTTTCTGTTTATCGGATTGGTCTACTCCCAAGCCACATAACTGCTAAGACATGAAAAAGAAGCTAGTTCAGTATGTAGGACAATCTCAGTTCATCTCTTATGTAACAGAAGAAACATGGGAATGATCAAATCCATCATGAATCATTTGACCCTGATCAGGTCACTCTTTGACTTCTTGTCCAATGTCATTTTTCTATTCGGATTCATACTGCATGATGATAAAAAAAACAAAAATATTATCAAACGTGATTTATATAATAAAAGCAAATTCCTCTTTCAAAGGTTAATGTTGTAAATTATATGTCCAAGGCTTCAGGCATCCCCTTTTCAATGTTTGCAATCGTCTATTTCAATTAAGACTAAATAACTAAAAATCAAGTTAGAAGACATGTCCTCTAAACACGACAATATCAAATCACTACAAAAATAGACAATCTCAAGAAATTAGCTCAAAATATAATTTATAAGCAAGCCTAGACATGTAAATCGATTAGAAATCTCAATGGAAAGCGTTCATCAATTATGAGAGAATATACTGCCTGAAGTAATAAATGGTTTATAAATTTTGTTGACAATATTTTTTACAAATTAAAGCATGTTATGAAAGTGCTAGCACTTCCTAAAACAAAATTTGTAAGTAAAATATATATAACCCTTTAATATTATAGAATATTTGATATTTGAATTCATTGTTAAATTTTCATCATCGTTACACGTGTAAGATACTATAATTACTTTAAATAAATAAAAAATTATGAAATCTTATCCTAAACATTTGATGAAAATGCCAAATAAGTGGTAAAACATAATGCTAATGACAGATGATGATATGTTCATTTTGGATTTTATGCCAAGAAAGAACATGTTGAATTAATGTAAAAGGTTTGAAGAGAGTTGATTTGAATCTGTATAATCATAAAAGGACTTAAGAATGCCACAAAGTATAAAAAAAATGATGATATAGTGAGCTCCATTCCTAAATTAAAATTTTGATGTGGACCTTGTTTTGTATAAAATTATTTTATTAAATTCCATGAAACAACTTCAGAACTCTAACATATGGAGATATAATAATTGAGCTCACAATTACCATGCACCAATTTAGAAAATAATACAAAACGATATTAGACCAAGCGACTACACAACCATTGTATGCCCTATTGATTTAACCAAGCTTTCAATCCATTTTGGAAATAAAACCTACAAATTCTTTCATCAAATATTCAAATAGGATAAATAAAACGCAGTTTATAAGTATTTAATTCGGTTCATGAACCCAATCATTTAAAAGAAAACAACCCAATCCAGTAGCTTTTAATCTACAACTCATTTCTACAAATTCATTTCACCACTTTTATACATGTACAAGATTTCTAAGAAACTTTTTTATGTGAATCATTTTTTATTAAGAACTAATTATTAAGACAAGCTTTTGTAGCTTATCTTATCAAATATAACGAATGATCAACGAGAAGCTCTTTAATATCTTACCTGTCAGGCTTTGGGTTCCCACCTCCTTGTTTTATAGGTTGGGCTTTTTCACATCCGAGTCATTCCAAGTCATATTAAGATAGGAAACCCAAAAAATGATCGTCTACTAGAGAAAATCCTAAAATTGAAGCATGGTGATAATCTGGTACAAAGTCTGAGAAGAGTTTCATGGAGAGAGAAAGAACATGTTGGTGAGAGAAGAGTCCTAGAACAACAACCAAGTCTTGGTGATAATCTCATAGAACATGTGATACTAAATAAACAAAATGCTAAACCAAAGTACAAAATTAATTGAAACAAAACTAAGGTCCCGTTTGATAGTTTCTGTCTGGGAAAGTGCTGTCTGGTAAAGTGCTGTCTGGGAAAGTTTTCTGACTGGGAAAGAAACCATGCCGTTTGATTGTACATCTGATTGACTGTGCTGAATGATGAAAAAAGTAATAATTCAATAAAAAATATAATTAAAAAAAGTTATTTAAAAAAATTAATAATCCAATAAAGAAAGAAAGAGACGGGGTTTGGTGTATAATTGTCTTTCCAGCCCATTCAGCCAGAAAGATATGATTTTGGGGCTTTCTGGGAAAGACATATTTTACCGGGAAAGACCCCTTCTTTTGTGCAAATCAAACAGTCTTTCCGGTCCATTCAGCCAGAAAGATCTGTTTGGACCTGGAAAGATGCGTATCAAACGGGGCCTAACATTGGTTGTGGTTTTTCCTAAATAAAAAACAAGGTA